TGTGGACGAAACGTCAGGAAGAAATTCCGATAGACCACGGCTTCAAAGCCCGGAAAACATTCCTAAATGTAATTTAACCGGCCGTGAAAGCCTTCACAGTCTGATACATATATATACTAATAAGATGAAATAAAGGATCGTTTTTCTTTCGTTACATATATGTATGTATATGTATGTATATTCCCTGAACATATCATATACATTCATTGAACATACCATGTACATTCCCAGAAGATACCATGAACATTCAGTGTATTAACTCTGACATGGAATGTTCATAATGTAACTCATGTATGTCCCAGGTATATGCATGTACATCACATGAATGTTCCAAGTATATTGTGGGAAGGAGTGGGTTACTCCCGCTTGGCAAACTTACAAAGTCAGTAGCGTCGACCAGGGCAAAGAGGCTCGGTTGCGCACCTGACACATCAAGGGACTGACTTGGTGCCTGAACTCCAACGAGGTGTCATTGGAAATGGCCTCCAGGATGGGGCGCAGCCCAATGGAAACATCGTTGGCTGAGCAGGAGCTCGGCACACAAAGCGCCCAGTTAATGCTGGAGAATCTGGGCACCCGATGGCCGGGCTGAAATCGGAATGAGCCACTCAATTAGACCGAAGTGGCCGCTGTGCTTCAGCGCTTACATCCTCCAGCCTGCTGCGGAAGTGGTAGTGCGAGTGCGCCAGCTTGTGCAGGGCGGCCAAATGGGGGCTGTGGGGCGTCTGGACCTCGATGGCCGCCAGGCAATACTGCCCCTGCACACCGTCCTCCGACAGGGCGGACAAACACATATCAAAATCCCCCAGCTGGTTCACGTTGCCGTTGAGGATGCCCGATGGCAGTTTCGCCGTTGAATCGTACACTGAAAATCCCATTGAGACGCTCTTTAGTCAGCTGCTTCTCAGGTAACAAAATATATTCGTACAATATTGAAAAGTGAACATTATTACATATTGGTGAAATATGTTACTCCAATATTCAGTAAATATTGGGAACATATCCCAGGTAGCAAAATATATTCGTACAATATTGGCTATATGCGACATACTGGATGGAAATGTGAATGTATATATTTATTTTTAATTAAAATCGGATAATAAGAACATGTTATGAGTTTTTAAAACTTATATTCACGTGTATGTAAGTTTTAAAAACTCATAACAAGTTCTTATTATCCGATTTTAATTAAAAATTAATATATACATTCACATTTCAATATTGGCGGACACACCTCTGGAGTTTGGATCGATTCTTCGACTAACATTTTCACTTCAAACTTAAATTAATATTTAGATATTGTGTGACTGCAAAAGAGATTTTAAATTAATATTCGACCCTAACAATGACAAAGTTTTCAATTATTTTTTGTGAGGAATCAGAGTATTAAATAATGCACATATTAATTGAACAATACCCACATATATTAATTAAATAACACACATTTTTTATTGCACGCACATCTTATTTTTGTCCCGATATCGCTTCCTAGAAATAAAATAAACTCAGTTAGATTTTACTAAAATTGCAAAACAAATAATGGCTATTTGTCTACTTGAATGAAACAATTTTTAAACGAAAAAAAAACTCACCGGCCTGGACTTTCTTCCACCCTCTCTATCTCCAGCACTAGCCAGGGAAAATCCGATATATTTCCTGATATCTTGGTCGGTTAACATATAAGGCATCATTAGAAGCTTCCTCACTCTGTAGTTCTAACCCAAAGCTTTCAGAATTAGTGTTTTCACAATTGCCAATTGGGTTTATGCTTTTTACCAATAGCTGGAGTTAAAGTATTAACTTCTTTCTCAAGTTGCCTTTTTATATACATCCATTTTTTCGATCTTGATGACCTGAAATTGATATTACATTGTGCTACAATATTCAGACTTTGTATATGTTCTTCTAGTACATATATTTGTGCAGAAAAAGAACAAAATTCTCTAAAAAATGGAGATTCAACTTAATTTTCTATGTAAGTTGTTAGATTACATTCGTTATTGTAGCATACAATAAATCTTACTTACATAATTATTTATAAATTAAAATCAAATCCTGGGTTCTTCAGTCATTTATTGTCTATTTATCAATTAAAAAAAAACGTTTCGGTGTTTTCCACCATCATCAGTTTCAATGTGTAGCGTTGTTGCTACTTTACGCCTTGGCATGTATTTGGACAATAAATAATAATAATAATAAATAATAACAATAAACAATAACAACAAACAACAAACAATGGTGGAAAACACCGAAACGTTTTTTTTTAATTGATAAATAGACAATAAATGACTGAAGAACCCAGGATTTGATTTTAATTTAGAATTGAAACACAGTCAGGAAAGTACGTATAATTATTTATTTTTAGGATTGTGCGAGTTTAAATATAAAAAACATGTTTAATAAGCTTTAGAACAACAGTTTGTAACTAGTTTCAAAGCAGTTCAAATAAGACCCGGCATTGGTACGGTGGCACCTCATTTTACCTTACAAAATGTATATACATGAGGGCATGTAAATAGTTGTGAACTTATTCTATTAAAAAGAGTGGGCAAAAAGACACCTATCACTATATTTATGTAATAATAATATGTACTTACATGTTGAGTTGCAGATTATTGCACAAAACACCGAAGTATGTAACTATTTACTATTTAGGTAGGTACAATTAAGTACACAACGCTAACTTCAAATAATAGTAGCCGAGTTCGATTGCTAAAGTTGGGCCAACTTTAGCAGTTCCGCAGGGGTGTTTGCGTATTTATCCGACAAGCAGTTTTCAATATAGTACGCAACTAGATTTGCAACCGGTTTTTTGTTTCTATTTTTCTCTAACACTTTAACTTTGATTATAAATCAGGCCGGAAGATATTATTAATAATTATTAGCTACTAGGACAATATTCTATGATTATCAATTAAATCGAAAACGTTTAATTGGCATAGTATTGCTATACAATATGGCATGTTAATCTTCCAGCAAAAACTGGAAATGAAAAATATTTTGCCAATATTGTATTTGTTTAGATGCATCAATATTGGTCAAAAGAGCTATTCTAATATTGGAGTAATATTGGCTAAAAATTGACAATATTGACCCAACATAAAAACGCTCTGCCAATATTGTATAAATATATACCCGATATATGATGCTACATGGGTTAGTAGGCAAAGCTCGCACGCACAGCCAATGTAATGGATGGAATTTACAATCAAGCACCAGACGTCGGTATGTCATAAATGGAAATGGGTGCTGAATTATTGATGATGCCAGGATTTCCCCAAGTTTTTGCTCACTTTTCAACGCCCACATCTTCAGCAGGCGCAGCTCGCTCATGTATTTCTGACTATCGCGCTGGCAGGCGACGCTCACCCCTAGGCGAACCTCCCCCAGGTTAAAAGGCGGCTGAGGAGCGGTCAGCCATTGCAGCAAGCGCTCAGAGGTCTGCTGATCTGCGCCATCTGAAACAACGTGTTAACTGAGCAAAAACAACAGCGTCTTGCAAACGCTCTTAAGGCCGTATTGGGCCAATCTCCCCGTGTTGGGGAGAAACACTCATTTTTGCTGCAATTCCAAATCTTGTCTACTGAACCGTTTCACATATCGGCCATCTCAGACCAAAATGCGTGTTTTACAAGGTCCTCAAGCGCAATTAATACAATTAAGGCGACCGTTCTTGATTAATGTTGGGCTTACCATGCGTTCAATGCAAAATCCTTGACTGCTGGCGCATTAAGCGGAATTTTAATATGCATTTATCCCATATTAATGAACGCACCCGGAAGCTTTTTGAACTACGCATTTCTTGTCCCGGGCGTCTTCAGTTTCTTCTGCAACCACCTGCCTCAAGTTCAAAGCTAATGGAACTATTAGCGGGTTCTTCACGCATCTTCCATTAGCGGACGTGAACGATAATAACGACTGAAACGTTTCAATGGGTCGACGCTTGATTAATCGTCCATTTGTTGTTTAATTGATTGCAACTCACAAAAAACCACGCAAATCTAAAACTTCTTGAATTCAAGCATTTTTTGAGAAAACTGCCAACATTTCCCCATCCATGGTTAACTTGCTAAAAAGGTCATTTATTTCTCTCTAGAATGATGTACAGATGGGCGTTCTTGCTCATTTTGCCTCCGAGAAATGAGCAAAATCGGGACGAAAAACATGAAATTTTGGCATAATCTTGCACCTAAGTGTTTGATATTCATATTTCGCTTTCTGGGCCAAAACTATTCGAATTTCCTCACTCACGTTGTTACGACTGAATCGACTTTTCAATTCTCTATCCAACGATGCCAAAACGAATT